TGAGTTGATGACTTGAATTATCAACTTGTTGACCTGTCACGCAAAATTTGATATTTTTCCTATAAAAAGCAGCCATGGTGATATTCTTCAATGCAGTCACTCCATGCCGTAATATATTGCCTTGGAAACAATGAGCATAGGGCAAAATGCTTCCTCTGTTTTTATGGTTAGCATGCAATTTGTTACTTGATAGAGCTATTCAATATGTAAAGTTTTCTGCTGGGCATTCCATACTTTTGGTCTGAAGATGTGCAATGTGTGTTTTCTTTTCCTTCCATTTTTTCAAAATTTTCTTTTAAATTTAGAAAAGAGCAGTATGTAATCACTGTATTAATGATTAAGAGAGATGTATAATTTGATGCTTAATTTCTTTTAATATTTATTTATAAATATTGAAAACGTCTATGCAGAGTTCTTGAAGACCACAACATAGTAAGGCCCGACCTTCTATAAGTTTGAAGACCAAATATTCCTCTTTCTGGGATTTTAAAATTTAAAAAATTAACTATATGTCTGATGAAATAAATATTTTTATCAATAAAAATTATTATTTTTAAATGTTTAAAATTAATTTCATAAGCTGATATTATCATTTTCTATTATTAAAAATTTTAAAATCCAGTAATGGTTGGTCACGCTGATCATGAATCTTTCGTTCATATTATCTAACTATTTTTTTTTATTTTAATGGAATTGTTCTACTTGTTTATTCATTAAATCAATATACTTTTGGTTACTATATTTTAATTTTTAAAATTTTAAATTTTTATATTTAATTTATTTATTTTCTTAATTATTCAAATTAAGTTTTTTATTCTAAAATTTCATCTAATAATTAATAAAAATATAATAAAGATGTGACATATTATTAATTTACATAAATTAATAAAAATATACAAAATATTCAAATAAATATAATAAATAATTTACATAAAATCATTTTTATTTTATTTAATCATATTAATCAACAGTTTTTCCTCAGAAATTTGTATAAAGTAATGATATGTTATTTTTTTATTAATTATTAAAATTTTAAGATAAGAGACTTAATTTGAAACTTTTAAAAAATAAAAAATAAATTTAAATAATTTATATTTAAATATTAAAATATAGAAAAAGTATAATTTTTATATAGCAGATAGATTGATTCACTTTTGTTATGAATCTGTTTAATAATACTGACCTACTTTTTATTATTTGTTTTTCATTCACCCTGCTTTTTTATTTTGACATTAACATTATTCCACTTTATTATTTTATTTCTTTATTGAATTCAACTTTTTAATTATGAATAATTATCTTTAACAGTTTTTTTTAGCTTTCTTATGTCGACATGTATCGGTATTTTCTTTCAACGCTTCTAATTTACATAATGGTTGAGATATTGAAACAGACAAGTTTGCATTTATTGTGAGAAAACAATGTTTAAGTAACAGCAAAAAGAACCTGATTTGCCACCAACCACAGAAAATGCTTGATATTTTTTATCCTTTTTAAAACCTTACACTCGACACAGTAGCATCTTAGTTTAGACTCTTTGATTAAGTGGCATGTGTAATGTGTTGCTTTTAAAACGAAATGAGTTCCCGTATTTTTGTCTTTCGCAAAAGAATGTATTGTGTTGAAACAGCACAAAAACACAGTGGTTAAAGCTTTTATTCTATGGCTTCTTGAGGAAAAAGCACAGAAGTTACAGGCATATAGTTGTACTTTGATGCCCTTTTTCCCTGTTAGAGCAAGTCCAGCTGAACAGCTCAAATCCGTATTCTTTCTTGCCATGTGCTTATTCCCATTGTTTCTTATATGTTTGATAAAGAAGATTATATATCTACTTTTTGCCTTAAGGATGAATAGGGTAAAGGTTAATCAAGGATTTCTCCAAAATCCTACCTTTTATATTTTGCTTGAGTTCTCACATCTTTAAAGTCGTTGGTTTATTATTATACAATTTAGAGTATATGTCACATTCATCCGTGATAAAACATGGGGGGACACTTGGATTCCTAAAAGATATTATTTAGTCTTTCTAAATTATAAAGATGAGTTATAAGACTCATTTAACTAAATTACACATATTAAACTAATTATTAAAAGTAGTTAATGAATTACATTTTTTAAAGATTATTTAAACATTCAAAATTTATTCTTACACGAGTCAATTTTTGTATATCACACATGATCATGTCTTTTCATTTCTCATTTTTTTTAACGTAAAATTTTAGCTCTTTTTTTTTTCTAATTCATTTTCTTCTTATATCACTCTTTTCACCTTAGATTCTCCATTCCCCTGCCATGATCACCCCACTGCTGCATGGTCTTTTTCTCCTCACTTGTCTTCCCTAATTTCCATCACCTAAGTAATAATCAGCTCTCATCAGAGGTGCCCTAATAGTCAATTAATTTTTATAATTTTATTTATAATAATTAATATCATTTGATGGAGGATAATAAATGATTAAAATATTAATAATTTTTATACAAATATTAATTATCAAAATATTAATAAATGAAGGATATAAAAAAAGCTAAGTAATTTTATAAAATTTAAAATATTAATTATTAATATTTGTACAAAACTTAAAATGTTTTTTTTTTTTTAAATAACGAAAGGAGTCTAATTTGTTTTGTAAATTAATGGATGCTGACTCTCAATTGATTTTACATTTCTTGTATCAATGTTTTAAATTCTTGAAAGTGTAATTGGCCTCTTAGTACAAGGAGTTCATTTTAGGCAGGAAAGAGCAAGGTATGGGATGCATTTTTAAAGAAAGATGTAAAAGTATGGACTTAAAATTAGTGATTGAAATTTTAATTTTTAACATTTTAATAATATTTCTTATATAGTAAAAGTTAGACAAACTCGTGCAGTAAGCATGTGTAATAAATTTATTTTTTTAACTTAATGATCATCATAACCTTGTTTTTAATCTTCTAAAATTTTATTTTTCACTTTAAAGAATCAAATTGTTTTGGTGCACATCTCTCTCACTCTGTCTTTTTTTTTTCCATCATTTTTTTCCCTATAAATAATAAAGCTTGTGTCCTGAGACTGTCTCCTATTCGTATCCTGAAAAGCTGCTGATCATAATAATATTCCGAATGGCAACCACAGTAGACATATTAGTGGCTAATAGTTGTGACTAAAGAAAGAACGATGGGCTATCAGAGAAATGGATTATTTTAAAATAAAAATTATATGAACCTTTAATTAAAAATTAGATAAAAGTACAATAGAGTTTAGAGGAGCACATCACATGATGAATAAGTGTCAAAATATTTTCGAATAAAATTACTAAGAGATAACTCGAATATACTTAGTATTACGCACGTAATGAGCTGCAGACAGGGAGCATTAATTATTATTAATCCAAAGAACATGGTTTTTGGCAAGATTAGAAGTCAAAGTAACTACGAACCAAAGCAAAGACAGTACCACCTACCATTTCCAATTGTTTCGCGAAGATGTACGATTGAAAGCCACCTGGCCCAAGGGATTTGAAAGCTTTGACAAGTTCATACCATCGTCTTATAAGGCCAAAGCACCCCACTTTGGTTATAGGCTGAGATAAAGATTGGGTACACTTGCTTCTTGAAGGAAGAGCCCGTCAATATTGTTTATTCTCCTTTCCATTATTGTTTCAATGAGTTACTTATTTGGATTTGGATAATCTTTACACTGTGTTTAAATAAGAATTATAAGTCTAATATATTATAAAGTGAAATTAATATATTATCTTATCGCATCACATACATCATAATATTTCTCAAATTAATTTTAAAAGGTACTATAAAGAATTTTAATTCTTTCATTTCTTCCTTTCTTATCTAAATTTCTCTACTTTAACTGAAGATGGGAAACATCGGCGTAATAAATTATGAACCTAGCATCTACCCCAATTCAAAGATTTTATGTAACAATTTCACAGGTCTTTCAAACTGTGAATCTGCTAAACCATACATTTGTCCCCCAAGATAGTGTGCATTTTGAACTAATTTGGGTGTTTTTAAAGAAAATTATATTCATTGAGATGTGTTATGAAAATATCATAATTACATCGTTTTAAAAATTAATTTATAAAATTTTTCAGAAGCTAAAAATAACTAATGAAAAAACCTATAAATATATAATTTGTAAGTTTAAACAAACTAAACTAGATCTTTATAAGTACAATTTTGTAATATGTGATCAAAATCATGGGTTAAAGACATCAAATATATCTTATTAAATATTTTTAAATTATTATAAAAAGATACTAAATATAATTTTATAATTTTAAGATGATAAATGTTTTATTTTTAATATTTTTTAATTTTACTTTTAAGATGTATCTTTAATTGCATATTAAAAATTATTATCAATAAAAGAAAAAAATTGTTTAATTAATAATTTCATTTTATTTTTATAAATGGTCAACAGATGATTGAGACGAAGGAACGAGGCCAAAAAAGTGTCAAACTGAACAGTTGATGCAGAAGTGATTGACCGATCCAAATAAACCAAGTCATCAAATTAGCAGAAGGATTAGAATGTGAACTGGACTACAGGGCCACAACCATATAGCGACGGAGGGAAAACAAAGGTGTTCACATGGAAGATATTGATTTGAATAAAAGATAAAACAAATCAGATAATCTTAAGAATTTACCGAAATTCTAAAATTTGAGGATACTAAAAAAATTACCTTTGAGGCCTTAAAAAACATTAGTTATGTTTAGTTTATCATATGAAAAACTGTGCTACGAGTGTCCCCATCTTAGAAGGAAAGTCATTATACGAGATCTTAAAGGACTAGGGGTTATTTTCATTGTCCATAAATGATTCTATCACTGTAATATTCAGGAGGTTTGAAATCATGACTTGTACATATTCTCTTAACACTAGCACATCTGGGCAATACACAAGTTGTAATGAGTAATTAGCTAATAAGGCGAGTAATGTGGGATTGATGAGGTGAAAATAGATATATAAAGGGGAGGAGTATTTGACCAAAATGAAATGATAGAGGGAATGTCCTGGGGGCAGGAAGGGAGGGGGGAAGATGGAGATGTCAAAAGGAAAGACCCGAAATATTTGAATAAAGGGAGAGGAAGGGAGAAAGCATCCCCCATAACCCAAAAGTAGAGGCATCAAAAGGGGGGGTCCTAATCAGTAATCAACCACTGGGGGTCAGGTCTAAGACAAGAGGAACTACCTCTCACTCAAGGTTAGAAAAAAAGGAAGGAAAGGAAAGGCGGTGCAAGATTGTGGCACCCAATAATGATCAATTTGCATTCGACATACATCTATCCCTATCTGTCTCATATGTATCTGTGGACCCCTCCTTCTGTTCCAACCAGCGGCGCCATTAGTCTCTTTACTTAGTTTCCAAGCTCACCCACCTCCTCTCTCTCTCTCTCTCTCTCCACACCCATTCTCCCATATATAACAATAAATAAACAAATCAAAACCCCTCCTCCCTCCCTTCTCCACTTCCCTCTCCACTCCTCTCTATGCCCTGTTAGTATTTTATTACAATAATCATCCAAATCCAATCATAGACTCGCTTGGGATTGGTTAACCATAGAATATTGAGAGATAATCAAAAAAGAAGAAAGGGATGAAAGGGGAATACGTAGAGCAACAACATTCTAAGACCGAAACGCCTACTATGTTCTCAAAGCTTCAACCTCAACCCTTCTCTCACAACCCTTTCCAACTCTCCACGGAAGAAGATAACCGGGCCGCCGCCACACCCAACACTGCCCATAAGCCCAACTCCTCTGGCGACGGTGCCACCATTGAGGTTGTCAGAAGGCCCAGGGGCCGTCCGCCCGGCTCCAAAAATAAGCCCAAGCCACCCGTTATCATTACCCGTGACCCTGAACCCGCTATGAGCCCTTACATTCTCGAAGTATCTGGAGGAAACGACGTCGTCGAGGCCATCGCGCACTTCAGTCGCCGCAAGAACATGGGCATCTGCGTCCTCACCGGTTCCGGAACCGTTGCTAACGTCTCTCTCCGTCAACCGTCCACCACTACCGGCGCCACCGTTACTTTTCACGGCCGTTTCGATATTCTCTCCGTTTCCGCCACCTTCCTCCCCCAACAATCCGGTGCGTCGCCGGCGGTTCCCAACGGTTTCGCCATCTCCCTCGCCGGACCTCAGGGGCAGATCGTCGGAGGACTTGTCGCCGGGGGGTTGATGGCTGCGGGGACGGTGTTCGTCATAGCCGCTTCGTTCAACAACCCAGCGTATCACAGGCTGCCGCCGGAGGAAGAGGGTCGGAACTCGGCCTCCGCCGGCGAGGGACATTCGCCGCCGGTTTCGGGGGGCGAAAGTGGGCATGCCCAAGCCGAGTCTTGTGGAATGTCCATGTACAGCTGTCAAAACTATCCCTCAGATGTGATTTGGGCTCCGACAGCAAGACCACCACCGCCGCCACCTTATTGATCAATCACACGTTGTTTGATACTGTTTCTTTCTTGGGTTATTGTAATCAATTCTATATGCTGTTCTTTTCTGGGTCTGTTTAATTCAGTTTAATTCAATATAACTGGTTTAGTTGAAATCTTTGGTATAATTATAAATGGGAACACTAGTTTAGAGTTGTGGTTACTATTGGAGTTATGTAGCTAGGGGGGTTTATTTTCGGCGCCAACTGTAACGCTGCCTCTTCACTTTCTTCAATGGTTACTGTTTACCGGTAATTACTAGTGAATTTGTTTGGTTGTAATTTTTTTAATTATAATGATTAGTGGATTTATAACGAGGGAAAAAAGAAAAGCTGCAAAATGATGCTTGTAAGGAAAGGAAAGTCGGAAATGGGTTATGCTGGTTACCCTTTCTCTATCAAGTTGAGAATAGGCCTTTTATCTAAAGGGCATGTGGTGTTTACTGTTTACACGTTGGTTACTATGTGGATGGTTTGGTTAGACTAAATTTTCGATAGTGGGTTTGGGTTTGGGTTTGGTTGTAGGGTGGGGGGATGGGGTGTTGCTTTGAAGTTTGGGACTCTGACTCTGATGGGGTGTGATTGGATGACGATAACGCTGGCTTGATAGTGATGAGTGCAGTGCTGATGGGGGTGCAGTGCAGAAGGTAGCAATGAATGAATGAATGATGGATGTTTTGTTTGGATAAAGTGAATTTGATGGCAGTGGAGAACGTGGCTAGGGTTGTGCCTGCCAGTTTCTTACTTTCTTTTCAGCAGCAGAGCTCATCTGCTTCTGCATCTGCATCTGCATCTGCAACTATTGTTCTGCTTTATCGAATATCACTTGAGAACAACAACCCTTCCCTTCCCTTCCCTTCCTTTAACTTAACTTTATCTCTCTCTCCTCTTCTCATTACTTTATATCTGATCTATCTGTACTTTGTTTTGTCCCTTTGTCATCCACCCCTCTGAATTTGCAATTAAAGAGAAAGAGAAACTTTATAAAGTGGTATAACACTTCAAATTGCCAACCCTCTACTGTGCTCCAAACTTTATTGCATCACCCTGCTATCCATAACTCAATACATATTCTTGTTCATTATCAAAACAAATACTCAATAGAGTTTTTCATTGGATTCGACGTTACTCATTACTTCTGCCGGGGAGGGTTTTTTTTTTGTTTTTTTATATATATACTTTACTTTAGGTCTAATTTTAGTTATTTAATTTTAATTTTTTATTATTTATATTAAATATTTTATTTTGAATTTTTATTCAATATTTAGTAGAAATACAATAAAATGTGGTATATACCGATTTATAAAAACTAATAAATTAAAATAATAAAATGATTAAATAAAATATAATGAAGGATTTCTATTTAATCATTTTATATCTAATTATAGTTAATTTGTATAAATTCACGATACATAATACTTTCATTAATTATGAAATAAAATTTTTAGAATGAAAAATTAATTTAAACAGTTAAAAACTATGATAATTAAATGAGTGATTAAAATTTTAAATATATTTATATCGAAATCAAAATATAAAGATTAAAAGTTTAACTAAACTTTTTTTAGGAGGTAGAGAATTCGGAGAAAAAGTGGAAATAGTATAATGTTTCTACACAGATTTTGTTATATCCTTTAAATAAATTTCTGTAAATTATACAAAACAAATATTTAATAAAAAATGTATGCATTTATTATTTTTAAAATATATAAAATATTAATAAAATTTTTATTTAAATTATCAGACAATTTTATAGATATGAAAAATGAAAAATAAAAATAAACTATTACTCTTATAAACAAAATAACTTTAGCAAGAAAGGTAATTAATTGACAAGTCATGCTCACATTTTATTTAGTCAAAGGGTCTCCCACTGTGGTAGAAATTACAAGATCAAATTTCATTCCCAAATCAGTGTTTAGAAATTCAGCTAATTATGCCTACAAAAAGAGAGGGATTTTGGATTGCTGCAGAGGTTTTAACACACACATTAAAAAATAAAGCGATTTTTTTTTTAAATCCTTATTCATTTGTGTCGATTTGCATTGGCAAATACTGTGTATAACTAATTGTGTTATTTTAAATTAGTACACAAATTATTGAATATAACAAATATTAATGTGTTTTTTAATATATTATTATTAGTTAATTAAAAATTTATAAATAAACGAATGCCATTCATATTTTTTTATATTTTTAATAAATTTAATCAATGATGTGTTAGTTATTTTTTATAATTACAATATAAAACAATAGTTTTAATTGATAAAAAAAATACATATAATGAATTCAAAGGAGTATTTATTCATACACAACATGTAAAAATGGACAATATAATAACTGTTTTAATGTATTCCTTCCATTTTTTCTTCTTCTGAGGTTTCAAGTTTTGTACAAGAATTAAGAAATTTATTAATATTTTAAATTTTATAAAAAAATATTGCATCATTTTTATTATGTTAATAATAAATATCATTAATATATATATATACACACACACATACATATAACTACCAGTATTTTATTTTGTCCTACTTATAAAGAATGAAGATCCATATATTTTGATTCATCGATTGTTATATTCATTTTATATTTTATTTATTATGATATTTATATTAATTAATGATATATATATTCACTAATTATTTATATAACTAAATAAATTTATTTATTTTATTTAATATTATAAATATTACTAGAATACAATATAGTTTATGACATATAATGACTTTATAAATAAAATATTAATTTCGTAAAAAGAGGATAAAAGTAAACTAAACAAAATTACCGGAGTATAAAAAAAAAATTAAATGTGTATACTCAATAACGTATAATAAGAACTTTTATATGAAAAAATTATTAAAAAATATAAGATATCACAAAAGTTAATATATTAATAACTTAAATATTATAATTTTTACTAAAATTATTATTTATAAATTTTTTTATTATATATCTTAAACACCTGTTGAAAAATTGAAAGTTTATTTTTAAAGATAATACCTTATCTAAACTGTACTATATATGGCAATGTATGAGTGCTGGGAATAAATTAAATCAGAATAAAGAAGAATTATAATTTATTCATGCTAATTAGACAAAACATAGATTCGGTACTTTTGGTGTTTTCGAAGTGCCAAACATAATTATTATGTAATAAACGAATATGCAATACGAGTGGATAGAACTTTAAATTAAACATCAATGTCGGTGGTAATTTATTTAATTTCTATTTATTTTTTAAAAGTAACCCCATTCTAACGTAAAACAAAATTGTGGTTTTGCTAAAAATCAAAACATATATATATATATATATATATATGTATATATATGTTTTTAATTTGCTGTTTTATAATATATTAGATGTGATTGTCTTTGAAAGTATGATTGACAAAAAAATATAACTTTTATGTTTGATTAAAAATCTTATGCTAACTTTCATTTCAATTTTGATGAGATAAATATTTTCAAATAATACCATATATATATATATATATATATATATATATATATATATATTATCACTCTAGCTAATGCTTCATGAGTACAATGTTTTAAAATTAAATATCAACGCGTCCATGAATAATTGTATAAATTTAGGATATAAATTTTGTCCGACAACTAGAGCTTAAAAGTTGTTGAATGTCCATTAAGGTGTGTATAATTGTCAAAATTATTCATATTTCATATAGAGTAGTAGAAGGACAAGACAACACATCAGATTACCCACTTTATACGCAGTTGCCAATTGACAATAGACACACAAAAAAGTTTGTCCAAAATATACTGTCGAAGATAAATATTTCCAAGTTTGGATTATTCAACTCAGACAGTATGAATTAACTACAAAATTCTCGCACTTACCTTCCTTCATAGCTCTCTGCGCTTCTTTTCTTGACCATTTTCCTCATTTTCAACTCCTGCGCTCTTTCTCCAATTTTTTTGGTTTTTGCTGGAAATTTAAAATTGTCCTTCAGTCAAATACTTTCAGCTGATAATATTCATTCAAAGATACTTCTCAAAATATAGTAACTTTATTTTCAAACTTTACTTTTCATATTAATTAAAATCCGTATAAATTAATAATTTTCAAATATATGCATCATCCAAGGGATTCAATTCTCCTTAATGATAGCTGCATGCTCTAATGATCGATCGATATCTTAAAAAGCGTGGCATCCTCCCAAATAGTCACCACCACGGTACCAAATCAAATATTTTCAACCCCTTTTAGGGAATAATACCACTAAACCTAATTATTCATGTTCTTGTTTTGTGATGACTATGCTGCTTCTTTGTCGGCTAGTAGCATGTTGCATCTCTTGCATTTCGATATGTACAAGTGGACACACGTCGATAAAAGGAGCATCAGTTTCATTCAGCTCGTTCCATAATGTTGTGTGGTTCAAAAGATTGGATTTTCAATAGGAAAATAAACGAGGGCATGATAAGTAAAATTAATGAAGCATTAAAAATTCAAACTGTGAAATGACTTACCATTTTGTAAATTTCAATAAGGCTTAGACAAGTTTAAACCACTACCTAACTTATAAAGAAATTAAATAGACTATAGTCAATATTCAAATTTGAGCGGTGGTGTTTATTGCATGTATCAAATCGGGAAGCTGACATGGATTGGATTCTATTTACGGGTACCGGCAAGATCATGGGTCTCACTGGCAGTGGCACTTATATACATTTAACTAGACAAAGAATAGAAAAGGGACAAGAAAAGAAATAAAAGAAGGAAGAAAGTTTCTCTTTTGAATGTGGGTGATAGCGATATGTGTATATCCAATGTGGAAGGCGATATATAGGTGTGGTCAGCAGCAAAAATCCAATTGGTTTTGTGTCCACATTTCACCCATAATTGTTGCACATGCATCTACTTATCGACGGATCGCCTCCATCTTTGGCTTTAGCCAACCTTGTTTATTTGTGTGTGTTCTCTTTGTTTGCTAATAATGACTAGTCTTAATTTGTTTGTTGCCATGCATGCATGTATTCCTCCATGCTGCATTTATAAAAGATAATGTCAGCTGACTTACCTTAAGTTCCGGGAACAAGTGGGGGGCTCTAAAGGATTGAGCAAATACACGTTGCAGTTTAGATAAATACTTAATAAAATTAGAATGAACATATATACATGTAAATAAACAAGTGTGATACGTGAGTCTTAAGAGAGAAAAACAAACTGAATTTTTATCGTATCATATAAAAATTATATTTTTTTCTTCAAGATTATAAGTATCTTTTTAATAAAAGATAGCTCTGTTTAAGCTAAAATTATCCAAATAACATGATGGAGTTTTTCAGTAAATTTTTTATATAAAATTTGAACACAATTTTGTTTGAGTAGAATTAAATATATGTATTACTTAAACTAACGTTAGTAAATATTTTTTAATATGTAATATTTATAGTTAATTAAAATAATTTAATAAAAATAGAGAATAGTAAATACTATTTTGAATCT